ACTGCCAGCAGGGAGGAACTCCACAAGGGCCCTCAGTGAAGTAGAGCTGCCTCAGGACCACGTGGTGCCCTGAATCTGGGAAGGTCTGCCAACAGGAGCTGTGTGGAGGGAGTTAACACAGCAAGTTCATCAACAATAGAATTAGTTGGACTTCCCTGGTGGCGCAGCGGTTAAGAATCCGCCTGCCAATGCAGGGGACACGGGTTCCATCCCTGGTCCGGGAAGATCCCACATGCTGCAAAGCAACTAAGCCCGTGCGTCACAACTACTGAGCCTGCGCTCTAGAGCCCGCGAGCCACAACTACTGAGCCCACGTGCCACAACTACTGAAGCCCGCATGCCTAGAGCCCGTGCTCCGCAACCAGAGAAGCCACTGCAATGAGAAGCCCACGCACCACGAAGAGTAGCCCCCGCTCACTGCAACTAGAGAAAACCCGCGCGTAGCAACGAAGAGCCAATGCAGCCATAAATAAATTAAAATTTTTAAAATTAAGAGAATTAGCATAAATTGTAATTTGAGTTTATTAAATATCAGTGGGAAAGGTATAAAATCTTATTGCTTTCACTTTAAAAACTTGTTCTATGAAATTTAAATATTCATTCAGCTTAATAAAAAATTATATTTTTACCAAAATAATGATTGGCATGTGGCTTTCTGTAAGCCACCAAAATGCACAATAGGAAGCACAAAAGCACAGCTGTTAGAAGTGTAGGTGCTGAAATAAAAATACGTGTGGGTGCTGGCATTCTAGGCTCCACTTGACAGATGTGCCATCTGGAGCAGGTCGGCAGCCCTAAAGCTCAGTTTTCTGTGTTTCAAATGGAGATACTGCATCAAACCCATCCTCAGAGTTGGTGTGAGAATTAACCGAGATAATGCATACAAAGCAGTTGGAACCAAGTAAAAGCTCCATAAACTGCTATTGTCGTAGATCATGATAGAGTCATATAATGGAATACTACATAGACGGTCAGAATTATGCTGTAGATGGATGCATATTTGCCAAAGAAAAATGGTGTAAAATGGCATGGACAGTATTTCATTTTTGTAGGTTACAAATGTATAGATATGTGATTAGAAAAAAAGTCTAGAAATACATTATACCAAAGTACCAACAGCAGTTACCTCTGGATAATGGAATTTCAAGAGAATTTTTTAAAATTATTATTTCTTCCACCATGTGAGTATACAATAGGAAATCTGCTACCCAGAAGAGGGCCCTCACCCAACCCTGCTGGCACCCTGATCTCAGACTTCCAGCCTCCAGGAGAAAGAAATCTCTGTTGTTTATAAGCCACCCGGCCTGTGACACTTTGTTACAGCAGCCCACATGGGCTAAGAGAGGGTTACTTAAGAAAAAGCCTGACTCTGAGCTAATAAGCCTTTCGTTGTATGGATCTATCCAGTGATGGTGAGTAATCCTGGCTGCCTCCGCGGTTTACCCAATTTGCAGCAATTACTTCAATGGGGAAGGGGGGCCATGAGTGGAATAAAAACTGCAAAACTAAAGTTACAAAATGTTGACAACGTCAAAATCAATAATTCTTGTTTAACGGAAATCTACTTACACAATCTGAAATTTGAAAAGCACCAAATTACCATCATTCCTAAGATACGCCCCCTCCAATTGTATAGAATTTAAGTGCTCTACCCCCTGATATTTTCCTTGACTGCATTACTGGCCGGCCCATCCACCTCCCCCTCTGTAAGTATTCTGACTAAATACTGACAATGGCCAACTCTGTACCAAGTTCACGCAATGACACAAGAGCTGCTCCTGAGAACCAGCCAGTTAACAAGCAAAGGCCTTGCCTTGCGTCCTGGCTCCTGAGAAAAGCTATAGGTTGACTGCCTTAGTGACAGGTTACACGTAAAGGTGAGGCACAGTGGGCTCTGGAGGGCAGTACTGCTCTCCCACTTGGGTTCCGCTGCCCCCCAAGAACAGCAGTTGTCTCCTGTTTCTACTTGTTGCACCCCTCTCTGCTGTGTGTCTTCGGCGGCTTATGGCTCCTGTTTCCCTGTGTGTCTTTCAGCTTCTACCCTGCTTCTGACTTGACGCATCTTACACTCAAGCTCCGAGGGGCTGGGAAAGCTGAGCCAATCGCACAGATGAGATCACCCTTCCGAGCCAGGCTTTGCGCAGGCCACCCCTGGGTCAGGTGCCCATCCTGATGCAGCCAGCGCTGGGCCAGAACTGCAGAGTCACGTCACACAGACCATGCCCACCTGTGCAGGAAGAAACCCCCCGTAGCACCCTATGGGCATGAAAAGCCTTCCAAGATCTCCCCAGAAAGCAGCTGTATAATTAACCAGCAAGCACCGTGCCTGTTCTGCTCACTAGAGTTGAAAATAAAACTATCCATACAGACTCAATGTACTAATGTAATGACTTTGATCTAATATTAGCTCAAGTTACTAATGAGCTTCTACATTTCAGCAAACACTGAGACAAAGCTATACTCCAAATCAGGATGGGATATTTCAGTTCAGAATGTATGTTAAGTGAGGTTTTATAAGGTAATCTACTGTTCAACCAGGGCACAATGCTTATTCCCAAAATTCTCCTGTTTGAATATTTTTACTGTTTAGTGTACGGCACACACTAAATGACAAATTTTCTTGAACTCTTGACGGCTGGCTAATTTTATGCTTGCGTTAATCTTAAAAATTACAATTCTCATGGAAAATTCACAGCCAAATTTTCTTACACAGAATAAATTCAAGCTGGCTTCTTTCTTGTAGTTTATCTGGGCACATCACCTGTTTTGTTGTTTTTTTGCTTTTTAACATCCAACCCATTTTGTAAGTTTCCTCTTCGACCTTGACCTTGGTCATGCTGACATCCGACTAACAAAGGAGACTTCTGAACCAAGCCTGGCACTGCCCAGTTCAGGGAAGACCTCTGTATAGCACACTGAGGTCAGATCTCTTTCTTCCTTCAGCCAAGTGCTGCCTCTAAGGCTTTTCATTGGTTTGTCTCCAGCTGGCTGTTCCTCTCTCCTCTTAACTACTGTAGCTGGTTTTCTTTTCTTCTGGGCTACCTCCTTAAAGATCGAGCAAAAGAGCCCTCCCAACTTTAGAAGCTCTGGAATGGGAACCTTTTTAGTTCAGGGAAGCATTTGATACTCCTTGCATGTTTGTGTTTTGGTTGACTCGCTTTAATTTCAAAAGACTTATGTAGCTAATCTTTCTTCTATCAAAATCAAAGGAAAGTTGGCCTTTCCTTGGAAATGAAATCTTTAACAAAAACCACATTAAAGACCAAGTAACAAGAAATGAACTGATATTATGAAAGAATTCAGAGAAAAGTAGGTATCATAGAATAATTTGAAAACAAGGCTAAGAAGAAACTTTATATTCAGTGCCATATCACATACTGTATGTCACACTGAGGACAGAATCAAGCATTTAATCTGATCTCAAAAGAGAAAAGAAGGAAAGCAAAGTAAAGGGACAAGATGACAGGCTAAGCCTTCCTGAGTGTCGGCTCACCCAGCCCCGTCACTGGGCCCAGGAGGCACGTGGAGGTCACGTGGCTTGCCCAGGGCTGTGCGGATTTTAGGAGACAGAGCAGGAGTTCAAACCTAGGGGTACTCGAAACTGAAGTCCTTGCCTTGCTGATAGGCCATTTCTGGAATAAAACTGGCATACCAGTCAACGCTTCTTTTTTCATAATGATTTAAGATATAAACATCTCTTGCTAAGGTAGGGGAGTCTGAACCAATTGTATCTTGTCCTCAAGCAACACCACACTTAACGATGAAATTTATACTGCTTACTTCCTAAGATCAAGGAGAGGACAAGACAAGGGTATCTGCTCTCATCACTTCTATTCAGAATCATAGTGCAGTAAGACAAGAAAATTATATAAAGCATCCAAAATGAGAAGCAACGAAAACTATATGATTATCTACGTAGAGAAGCGAATGGACTTCTACAAAAAATCTACAAAAACTAGTGAGTTTAGCAATGTTTTAGAATAAGAAATCAATAGTCAAAAATCAATTGTATTTCTATATACAAGCAACAAGCAATCAAAAAATTTAAATCCCATTTATAACAGCATCAAAATATGAAATACTTAGAGTAAATCTGATAAAAGATATATACAGCCTATACACTGAAAAGTACTAAATACTGCTGAGAAATTAATGAAGACCTAAATAAGGGGAGTGATATACCTTGCTCATGGGTCAGAAGACTCAGTATCACTAAAATGTAAGTCCTCCCAAAATTGATTATAGATTCAAAACAATGCCAAGCAAAATTCCAGCAGGCTTTTTTGTAGAAACTGACAAACTGATTGTAAAATGCATATGAAAATACAAAGGTCTTAGATTAGTCACAACTCTGAAAAAGAACAAGATTAGAGGAATAAAACTACCTTATGTCAAGATTTATTATAAAGCTATGATAATCAAAACAATATAATGTTGATGTAATGACAGACAAATATATCAACAGAACAGAAGAGCGTCCAGAAATAGACCCACACATATATGGACAACTGAATTTTGACAAAGATGCAAAAGCAATTCAGTGGAGAAAGAAGAGTCTTTTCAATGAATGGTGCTGGAACAACTGTATATTCATGTGCAAAAAATAAAAGAAACTTTGATCCATACTTTTCACCACATATAAATATTAACTCAAAACTCAACAGGCTTCAAAAGAAGATACACAATCCAGAATTTTTATAACATTTCATCTATAATGGCCACTATAAAATATAAATTACTAGATGTGAAAAGAAACAAAAAATGACCTGTAATCAAGAGAAAAGTCATTCAATAAAAGTAGACCTATGAATGATCCAGACATTACAATTAGCAGACAAAGATTTTAAAATAACTACGATAAGCGTGTTAAAGAACTTACAGGGCTTCCCTGGTGGCGCAGTGGTTGAGAGTCTGCCTGCTGATGCAGGGGACACAGGCTCGTGCCCTGGTCCGGGAAGATCCCATATGCCGCAGAGCAGCTAGGCCCATGAGCCATGGCCACTGAGCCTGCGTGTCCGGAGCCTGTGCTCTGCAACGGGAGAGGCCACAACAGTGAGAGGCCCGTGTACCGCAAAAAAAAAAAAAAAAAAAAAGAACTTACAGAAAACAGGGGTATGCTGGGGAGAGATGGGAGAACTTCAGGAGAGAGGTGGAAACTATAAAAGGGAACCAAATGGAAATCCTAGAACTGAAGAATATGTTGTCCAAAATTTTTTAAATTATTAAACTAGAAATCAGAAAAACAGAGGCTTAGTGACTGGTAGAAAGCTATCAAACTGTCTAATATGTGTGAAATTGGAGTCCCAGAATAAGAGAGGAGAGAGTATGAGGGCAGAAAAAAAACACCTGAAGAAATGTTGGCAGGGAAGTTTTCCAAATTGGATCAAAAACAGTAACTCACAAATCTAAGAAGCTCAGTAAACCTCAAACAGCATTAAAGCAAAGAAAACTACACACAGACACATCACAGTCAAACTCTAAACACCAAAAATAAAAACAAAATCTGAAAAGCAGAAGGGTAGTGGGGAACATATTACATAAAGGAATTAACAAGATGATAGCTGACTTCTCAACAGAAAAAAAATGGAGGCCAGAAGGGAACATCTTTAATACTAAACACACACACACACACACACACACACACACACACACTCACACACATGCTGTCTACTTAAAATTCTATATCCAGCAAAATAAAATGTCTTTCAAAAATGTAGAGGAATAAAATAACATGAGGGAGATATTTGTGGTGACAGAACAGCTCTGTATTATGATTGTGGTTTTGGTTACACAAATCTACACATGTAATAAAACTGAATAGAACACACACACACACAAATGAGTGCATGTAAAATTGGTGAATTCTGAATGAGTTCTGTGGATTGTACCAATTTCCTGGTTTTGAGATTGTGCCCCATTTATGTAAGATGTTACCATCAGGAGAATGGTACACAGGACCTCTCTGTACTATTTTTAAACTATCTGTTAATAGTTATTTCAAAATAAAAAGTTAAAGAAATGAAATAAAGACAATTTTCAGATAAATAAATGTTGAATTTGTTGCCAGAGACTATAAGAGATGCTAAAGGAAATTCTTCAGGCAGGAGGAAACCAGGGTAAAGCATAAAGCCCCGTCCGTGAGGGCTGCACACAGTGACCTCCTTCCAAAGAGGACAGCATGGAAAGGGAGAAAGAAGAGTAACTTACCTGTGGGGAAGCTGACAGTCACCACCTCAGACAGGTGATCAAAGACAACAACCACAGTGGTCGGTCACAGGGATACGATGCACCTCTGATGTGATGACAATGGCACTTTACCTCTGTGGTCTTCCTCCCAAAACCTGAGAAAAACATCAGACAAATCCCAATTGAGGAACAACCTACAAAACACCTGGTCAGCATTCCTCAAACTTTCAAGGTCATCAAAAACAAGAAAAGTCTGAGAAATGGTCACATCCAAGGGGAGCCTAGGGAGCCATGACAACTAAATGTAACGGGGTGTCCTGGATGGGACCCTGGACCCGAAAAAGGGTGTTAGGGGAAAACTGAGGAAATCTGAATACTGTATGAACTTTAGCTAATAATAATGAATCAATATTGGTTAATTAATTCTAACAGTACCACACTAGTGTGAGATGTTAATAACGGGGGAACTGGGCGCAAGGCATGTGGGAATTCTCTACACTACCTTCCCAATTTTTCTGTACATCTAAAACTGTTCTAAAAAATAAAAGTTTGTTTTTAAAAAAAGACTTGAGAGATATAGCAACCAATTGCACCATATGGACTTTAATTAGATTCTGATTTGAACAAACTGCAAAGAAAATTATGACACATTAAGAGACATTTGAATAGTCCGGCTATTTGATGGTATTAACGAGTCCTTAATTGGCTTTCTTTGTTTTCAGAGTAAAAATGGCATGTTACATTTTTTTTTTTAAAGAGTCATCTTTCAGAGAAAATACTGAAACACTTATGAATGAAATGGTATGACGTCTAGGATTTACTTCAAAACAATCCATGTGTGGGTGGGTAATGGGTAGCATGAAACAGGATGGTCCATGACTCGGTAAATATTGAATGAAGCAAGTGATGGGTCTGGGGTTCACTGTACTAATCTACTTTCATATATGCTTGAAATTTTCCAAAGAAAAAAGCTGCAGAAAAATTTGTAAAATCTGCCTTAGTGTTTTGGATGCTTAGTTTTTAAACGTCTCATTATTTGTTAAGGGATATTCACTACATTATCAGCTAATATCAAGGTGTAATTACACTTAGTCATCATTAATGATAGTGGATGTGAATCCATATTTTTAATGCTCTTAATTTTTACCTTTTTGTAGAAATTTTTGGTCATCTTCTTGTAAGATATGATTAGATTATCATGTTTACCTTTAATGTAGCTGGCAAAAAGCTCATACAAGGAAGAGGTGGCAGCCCTGCTATTTTTCTTAGTGTGTGCTTATATTGCATTTTTATTCTCATCATTAATTCATGGTTTCTTTTTTTTTTTTTTTTTTTTGGTTCGCGGGCCTCTCACTGTTGTGGCCTCTCCCATTGCGGAGCACAGGCTCCGGACGCGCAGGCTCAGCGGCCATGGCTCACAGGCCCAGCCGCTCCGCGGCACGTGGGATCTTCCCGGACCGGGGCACGAACCTGTGTCCCCTGCATCGGCAGGCGGACTCTCAACCACTGCACCACCAGGGAAGCCCCATGGTTTCTTTGAAGGAAATCTTTTAAGACCCATGACCATTTTGTGAGATTCAGTTTAGCAGAACTTAGATAATACATTCTGAAATTCCTCAGAACCAGGCATGTGAAAAGCAATACATTATAATATTCTGAACACTAAACAGTGAGGACAACACTGCCGGCCCCTCCCTGCTGTGGAAGCCCCAACAGGACACCTCTCATCCCAGGCACCACATGCCACCGTCTGCCATGACGGTGCCATGTCAATCCATACACAGTATTACATATTAGCAAAGCTCAATTATTTTATTCTTAAAATAAAAATGTTAAAAAAAACACAAGAAGTTCTTTTTTTTTTTCCCTGCACACCAATGGTAGACACCCTGGATCCCAACACGCTGGATAAAACCCAACACTGAGAACTCTTCACATAGGAGGAGGAACCAATGGTGAATATGTCTCTCAGATGGTAATTATAACTTTCGGTGGCTTATGAGCACTGTGACTAAATTCCACATCTAAGGCACATTTGAAGAGCATGTGTAATCGAAGCCTCGGTGGCCAAGCCATCGCCTGGTGTTATCGCGAGGACCTGGCCCCCCGCTTCTCCCGAGCATCCCCAGATGATGCTGCTGCTGCTGCACGGGCTCTTAGGAGCAGCTGCTCCCCTCCAGCCATCATGCCTGATGACCACACAGGGACCCTCAGGACCTGCTCTGCCGGGCAGCTAGCACTCTGCTAGTGAACACTCCCCCTAGGCACAAGCTGGCTTGGGATGTTGGGAAGAAGGCCAATTTCACCCACCGCCCAGTAGAAACTAGATTCAAACTTTAAATGAAACTTTACTGATAATTTGAGGACGGTTGACGGGTTCGTTTTCTAGAGCTGCTGCTAACAAAATACTACAAACTGAGGCTTAAAAAAACATAAAGGGAATTCCGTGGCGGTCCAGCGGCTAGGACTCTGTGCTCTCACTGCCAAGGGCCTGGGTTCAATCCCTCGTTGGGGAACTACGATCCCACAACCCATGGGGAAAAAAAAAAGTAAATTTATTTTCTCATAGTTCTGGTGGCCAGAAGTCTAAAACCCTCCCTTCAGAGGGAAGCAGGGCCATGCTCCCTCTGAAGTCTCTGGGGGGAGGGCGCTTCCTTGCCTTTTCCGGCTCCTGGGAGTGCCAGGTGCTCCTCGGCTTGTGGTAGCATCACTCCAGTCTCTACCTCCCTCTGTGTGTGTGTCTGCATCTCCTCTTCTCTTATGAGGAAACCAGTCATATTGGACTAGGGCCCACCCTACTCCAGTATGACCTCACCTTAACTAATTATATCATCAACAGCTCTATTTCCAAATAGGATTACATTCTAAGAACGTTAGGACTTCAACATATCTTTGTGGGGGACACATTCTGACATAGGCTGGGACCTGGGACCCTTCACTGCAGTGCTTGCACCTGGACAAACATCTCCTCTCCCCAGTCCTGGAGCAACAGAATACAAAGAAACTAAAAGGGACTAAAAATAGCTGCATGCATGTATTGTTGGGGCCAATTATGAACAATAAGATACAAAAAAGCCAAAACCCAACTGCCACATCTGAGGTACCAGGAGCAAAAGCATGATCCCTGCACACAGCATCACCAAGGGGGAGGGCAGACTACCTAAGCCACCTCCAGCCGGACCCACCAATCGGCCCCCATCCTCTCCCCATTTAAGGGACCAACTCACCCGCCCTCAGGGAGCGAGCAAAGGCACCTGTTACTTGTTCTAGCTCCCTCGTGCTACAGCACAAGTCCCAGTAAAGCCTTGTCTGAATTTCTCATCTGACCTCTTATCAATTTCTACTCATTAAAGAGTCCAAGAACCCTGGTCGGTAACAATTCATCCCCTCACATAGCGAATAATCTACAGCTACTGCAGAGGCCTGACCTGTCCTCAGAGCTCCTGCTGAGCTGACTTCCTTTCTCACACTCAGCCCACGCCATGGACTGAGGGCCACCCCGGCTCACTCCACTTCCCGCTTCTGGGAGCACCTCATGAAACCCCACACCTCAGGGTTTGGGCCAGGCTGATCCCCTGGCTTTGGAAAAAAAGAGGATCTTCTTTCAGCCCCGGGTAAGTCAGGGGCATGGCTTCTGCATGATGGCCTCATGCTAGGACACTGAGGCCAGGCCTACCAAGGCCCTGCGGAGGAAGCCGCTCTCTCATTCACAAGACCACACAATGAAATGACCTTGGCATGCTGCCCAAATCTGGATTGTTTGATTTTCAACAATACCCTACGTGAGGCATAACAGACCACTCTGATTTGGCTTGTACCAAGGTTAAGGTGAGCCTAGTTCTTTTTCTAGTCTTCCTTCATCAAATATTCAAAACGCAAGACAACAGCAAAACGCCTTCATGCCTACTTTCATTTAGGGTCACCCTTTCACGTGTGAAAAGGTAAAATAATTTCACAGATGTCTTTCTAGGAAAAATAAGCATAGTAGTGATTTTCACTCCTCTCTTTCTTAGTCTAACCCAATGCAGAAAAAAAGACGTTTTGTACATTACCTCCGGGAAGTAGTTCCGACTACAAGTCAGATGTCACTGGCCTTAGAAATGACATCCCACAATATAATCCCAAATAACGAACAGCTGAAGCTTCAAATAACTGCCATGAACTGCCACGACCAGCTACACAGGAGGTTTGGGCCAAGGGAGCCTAACCTGGCCAACCTATAGGTTTAGCATGAGCTCCTCACTCAAGAGATAATGTTAATTAGCTGACCTCACCGTGTCTTCTCTCTGGAATTTAAATGGAAGAGACAGGATTCTTGGTTCCCAGGGAAACAGAAGGACACACAGAGAGAAGGCAGTATGCAGAGGCGATAAGACAGAGCAGAACCTGCACAGGAGAAATTGATTGGTGGCAGAACTCCCTGCTGCTGAAAAGGTTAACAAGTGTTCTCAATCAGAAGAACTACAATTGATCCTTAAACATCACAGGGGTTAGGGGCATGGATCCTCTGCTGAGTGGAAAATCCGAGAATGGCCCTCCGGATCTGTGGTTCCTCTGTATCTGCCACCCGGCATCCACAGATCCAACCAACCTTGGATTGTGTAGTACTATAGTATTTGCTATTGAAAACATCCGGGTGTAAGTGGATCCTGCAGTTCAAACCGGTGTTGTTCAAGGTCAACTGTACTTTGAATTCAGAAGCAAGTCCATTTTCTATATGGTCTGGCTGCAGTCAGTTATTTCTATGTGAATTCATACATCAATCCCAAATATTTTAGGTAATCTGAGTCATTTCTTAAACCAAAGAAATTCTCCCCATTCTGGAATAAAGGAATTTTCAGAACTCCTGGGTCTGGCCTTAAAGGGCTTTAACACAACTGAAACATTTCTTGAATGAATTTGTCCTTTACAACTGCATTTCCCAGTCTGGACTCCTACAACTCCCAGGCTAGGACAGTGATTTCAAACTTTTTGAGGCAATGCACAGTAAGAAATACATTTTAGAATGGAACTCAGTATACAATACACATATATAGCATAACTATAAATATACATACACATACAACAGAAGTGTCATGAAACAATACTCACCCTTACTATGCAAGCTTTTTTATTCTGTTCTTCTATTTAAAAAAACAAAAAACAAAAAACATCCACTAAGCTGATTTCACAACACACTAGAGAGTCTAGTACCATCAGTTCAAAATACTGCAGTAGGTGCATCCAAATTCATAGGATAAAAATTCCACATTTGACCTGAATTTTTAAAACTATTTCAACTAATTACACAGTAGAAATGCAAAAATCCATTAAGATAAAATACAACTTTAAAGGCATTTCTCACTTCCAGCTGGTGGCCTGGTGCTTCAATCTGTAGACGCCCCAGGACATGAATATGTGCACACCCCCTCTCCTGTAGAGTACTTCAGCGGGATGGTGTAAGGATTCTGCCTTAACGCCAGTGTTCTAACTCAACAAGGCGTCTGTATGAGGCTGTCACCTCTAAATCTTCATACCAGGAATCCTACCCTGCCGCTCAGCTTCCTGGGGGCTCCTCCTCTGTGCTCACTGGGAGAGGCCATGACCAGGGAGCGGCGGTCCCACTCAGCCACGCTGGTCAACGCTGCCAAACAGCCCGAGCACAACAGGGGACATCGGTAGGATTAGTGGGTATCTGCTTCTTTGGCAACCGCCATGGACAAGAATACCTACCATGACAGAAAGCTCTGATCGCATCCTCATTTCTTGGGCCCGGCTTTCACCTTCTTTTTGCAGGAACCAGGCCTCCCGGGCTGGTGTCCCTTCTTGTACCCCAAAATTGGTGCCACACCCAGGGCCCTTCACCAGCACCACTGGAAAAAGGGGTTGTTAGTGCGCCTTTTGTGGTAAATACAGCAGCGTCCCTTTACCGAAGAGGTCAACCCACACCAGAGCGCAGGCGCATCGGTCTTAAATCCCCCCCCCCCCCCGCCGCGCCCCACCTCGAAAGGACGGTTCTGGAGAGTTCTCAACAAACAATGGCTGGTGTTACGTTTGCCTACTTAATTAGCCACGCAGGTGTTGACAGTTAAAGATGTGTCAACTTGCGCTATTTATTTCCTGTGAGGTGTGCGGGATCCGCAAATCCCAGGGTTGAGACCAGAACTGGGGGGTGCGCACTTTTTCAATGAAATGCATAACATTTTGAATTAACACATATTCCATTCTTCCCACGGTCCTTCACCCATGGATGATACTCAGTCATCACCTGCATCATCAAACCCAGTCTTACTAACGCTAATATAGCAAAGAGTTTAAAAAAAAAACACACACGAGTAAGGTACTAACCAACCAACAGCCCAGCGAGCAACCGCCACGCGCCTCGCGCCTTTTAAGGGCTCAGAGGGCGGGAGTCCACGAACCTCTCAGCGTTCCACCAATCACCGCATCTCTCACACCTTGCCCCGCCTCCTCACCACGACCTAACCAATCACTGGGGAGCTAGCTTCTCTCCGCCCCTCCCGTCCGCCACCGACCCTTACGAAGTTCGAAGCCTTCAAACCTCACTGGTGCCCAACCGCGCGGTCCCAGTCCGAATTTATTTTTAGCTCCCGGGCAAGCAGCCCCGCCTCTGGCTCCTCCTCTCCACCGCCCCCAATGGGAGAAGGAGTTTCCGTCGCGTCATCGTGCGGGCGGGTTAGAACTGCCCAATCAGCGCTCGGAGAGAACTGGTGTAATTAAAAAGCGGCGGAAGCCGGTGGGAGGGTCATGACGCAGCGAGTTTCAGTCGTGATTTTTTCCAGGGGCATCTCGGCGTCCTCTCTTTTTCCGTTTAAAGTAAAACACCGCCCGACGCAACCTCGTGCGTTTCGGGGGCGAGGGCGGCCGCCGCAGCGGGAGTGCGGCACTGACGTGAGCCTCTGTCTGGGGGCCCTGCGGCGGCGCGCGGTCACGTGGGCGTGTTTGGGGGCGGGGCCGCCCGGCGGTTCCGGGCGGTTGGGCGCGCGAGCGAGGAGCCGAGGCAGCCGCGCCCGCCCGCCCCGCCCCTGAATGCCGCTGTGCCCCGGCGCGGCCGCCACCGATCGCAGCACAGGAGCCGCCGCCGCCACGGTTGATGTGGTTGGCCCGGGGCTGAGGAGGCCGCTAAGATGCCGCAGTCCAAGTCCCGGAAGATCGCGATCCTGGGCTACCGGTCTGTGGGTGAGTGGCGGGCGCCGTGCGGCCTCTTCGCGCCCGAGCCCGGCCTCGCCTGGGCGCCGGGGCGCGGCGGGCCCGGCCAAGTTTGGGGCCGGCGCGGCCATGTGGCGGCCGCGCGTTTCGTAACCAGCCGCCCGCCGCCGCCGCCGCTGCCGCCGCCACCTCCATCTTGAGCGGAGGCGGCGGCGCGGCCGGGCCCGCGGGGCGGCGGCGGGCGGCCCGGGCGCGGCGGGAAGTGTCTGGGAGACCGCGGGCGGACGGGGAGCTCAGGTTGGTCCGGGGCCGGGGAGGCGGTGCGGGGTCTGCCGCTCGGCCGACTGCCGCGGGGCCCGCAAAGGCAGGAGCCGCACCTGTCCCTTTGCACCTCCCCGCGGCGAGCTGTCGTGATCGTTGCTAGCCTTTCCACCCCCAATTAAAGTCCGTGGGATTTTAACAAAGGAAATAGCACCTTGCGGTTTTTCTGTCTGTGAAGTTCAGCATTTTGAAGAAAACCAGGGACCTAAAGGACGTTTGGCTAGTAAGGGCAAGTTTCCTACGGAAGAAACTCGGAAGAGTCCTCTTCGGAAGCCCCTTAGATGCTGCCGGAAGCCCCTTAGATGCTGGCCGAAGTAGGAGGGCACAGAAAGGAATTTTTGATCTCTCGGTGTCCTATTTTTCTTTGGGAAAAAAATAAGGTCAGGTACTTGTAACCAGGCTGTTGAAGTAATTCAAAAGTTTACCCCCCACCCCCCGAAAAAGGTTGACATATATTTGCAACTGTTGGTGGCAGTCGCTTTTTTGCCGAACGGAGGTGGTCTGGGGTGGAGTGGGGATGGAATGGGTGCTAGAAGACGAGTGAGAAAAGAGAACCGTTGGACTTAGCCATGCTTCAGAGTGAGGCTTTATGGTCTTTGACAACGGGCAGCCTGGAGAAATTACCTTTATCTTTTCGTGTTGTTTTTAAGAAGTAAATGAGCCTCAGGAGAATGTGCGCTTGACCACAGTGGGGCGGGGGCGTGAAAGCAGGTTTGGAGTCTCTGGTGATTGCAGGAGGAAGGCTTGTAACTGCCGGCTGCTCATTGGACGGACTCCCCGAGCTCTCTCGCTTTCTGTTCTGCTTCTTCACCCCCATTTTCCACGGCCAGTGCCAAGGTCTGTGCTCTTTGCCCAAGACTAGCTGCAGCGTGCTTACTCATCCTTTTATCATCTCTCTCCGTCAAAGGGCTGGGGGGTGCAGGGGGGAGTCAAGATCAGAGGCTGAGAGATGCTTGTGTAGAGACAGGGGTGACTCCTGTAGGGTGCAATGCCAAATCGTGGGGGGGAAGAACAGGTGACAGCCTTAACAGCTGCAGCCATGAAGGAACCGTGCCTCAGCTGGAGGCTTTTGAAGTCCCTGACCGTCCCGATGCCTGTATGGAACCCGGCATCCCACCTTTATTGGCAGTCTGAACCACGGAGCCCTTTGCTTCTCTGCATTTTGAAGTGTGGGACTATAACATATCTAGGCTCTTGAGTGAGTTCTATCTAATCAGATAGAGTGCCCACTAATTAAACGTAGCAGTCTCTGAATAATCAAGTTACAGGTGACCTGTACCTGGGCTACCTGATCTAAACTGGGAGAATGACCCAAAAGATCCCGACTTATTGACCCCTTGAAATTCTGGAGCTGGTGATTCCAGTCTTCAGTAAGCAAGTCTAGCATTTTATCACTGTTTTGCTAAAGAAGTTCCTTATGTCCAGTCGAAACCCATTCTGTCTTATCTGCCTTCTAGTCATCATGCTCCTAAAGACCCAGATGTGACACGTCACCCCTTTGCCTTCACTTGACATTTATTTTAAACTGCTGTTAATAAAATACTGTGCTAAATTAGCCTCCAGGGGCACACAGAGTAAGTTCAGTCCCTGTTTTCTGTGCCTTCAGTATGTCATATTGCTATATCCTACGTCATTTTCTCCGTATTTATTTTCATATGTGGTGATTAAAGTGAAATGTATTTTGCAAGAGGTTAAATTATTCCCAGTCTTTGCATTTGATTTTACAATTGTTTACCTTTGTTATGAACCAGGACATTTTGTAGTTGTGGGCGCTTTTGTTTTGCCAGCATCAAAAAAGGAGATAATTCCCTGATTCCATGTAGTAGCTACTCTTCAGAGAATTATTCAGTATTCAGACTTCTGAGTTTACTGACACGCTTGCTTGCGAATGGCGCTATGCTAGAGAAATTTGAGTATCTGTGTTTCTTTTCTAGGTTGTGTTACTTTGTGATACTAAGCTGTTGTGTCATATTTACTGGGGGTGGGAAAAGGCCAAGCTAGAAACCACACCTTTCCTAGAATGTTCTTTCGGTTAAATATCTTATGCCAGTTTGACTAGTAAAATACTTGTAAGTTTACTTTAAAAGTTTGCCTTCAGATAAAACTAGCAAGTGCAATGATTGTTTTACTACTTGGTGTTCAAATTTTGTATTTTTTAAAAACATTGATAAACCTACCAGTGAGGAAAATATAATTAATTCTCAGGTAATTTATACAACTCTTTTTTTTTTCCCCCCTGAAGTACTTTTCCTGTTATTTACAATGTTAAGCTTTTTAGGACACGTCACCTGTAACGCAGGCTGGCTTTCAGGGAGTGCTTTGTAGTAATTGTTTTAGTGGTGGCCAAATGTACCAGCTCCCTTACATCTATTGTTTCTAACACAAACGAGTAGTCCCGTGATAGGAGGTAACTAAACTTAATCGAATTAAAGTTATAGTGTCATTTAATTATCTTCAAATAAAATCTGGCACCTTTTTCACTGGAATGTTCTACAGAGAGCTTTGATAATGGAGTTTACCATTAGACCATCGACAAAAGACTGTCATACGTAAGCCTCAGGGATTAACAAGCAGGAGGGAATCACAGGAATGTGAAAGATCTTAAGAGAGAAAATGAAACAATTCTGTGGTTTGGTAAAAGGCAATTCAGTAAAAGTAACTCAAATTATTACCTACCTTGTCAAAATCTTTTAGGTAGTAAAGAACATGCATCCTTTGATTTGGATACTTCAGAGGGAAAGATGTCATTAAATTTGTTTCCGGTAGAATATAGTCCAATTGTATTCTGATTTACTGTATATTTTTTAATTATCCTATCCTTTTCTAACACATTGCATTGAATTTTTTTTTTTTTTTGCGGTACGCGGGCCTCTCACTGCCGTGGCCTCTCCCGCTGCGGAGCACAGGCTCCGGACGCGCAGGCTCAGCGGCCATGGCTCACGGGCCCAGCCGCTCCGTGGCATGTGGGATCTTCCCGGACAGGGGCACGAACCCGCGTCCCCTGCATCAGCAGGCGGACTCCCAACCACTGCGCCACCAGGGAAGCCCCTGAAAATTTTTAAGGTAAAAAGTTATGTACCTGTGGGAGGGGATAGTCCTATAGTGACCACCTTGTGTTGAAGCTTGAAATTAATTTTTTTTCCAGTGTCATACATTGTTTTGTACAAGAGAATAATCAGAGCTTGAATTTGCGATTATGACTTCCCGTGCTTAATGTAATTTTTTAGACTTTTTTTTAAGTATAGTTGACGCACAATGTTTATATAAGTTACAGGTATACAACAAAGTAATTCACAATTTTTAAAGGTTATACTCCATTTATAGTTACTATAAAACACTGGCTGTATTGCC